GTGTCGTACTACTCAAGAGCCGAAGGACTCACCAAGTCAGTTGGGGCGGCGGTAGATGCAACGGCAGCGACATCAGGCGGGAAGGGAAGACCTCCATTCTCGTAGCAAGCTTTGGGATATTTTCCTGAAATGGCCTTTGTCGTAGCAAGCTTTGGGAAAGCTTAGGGTTTTAGTTTTTTTTTATGGCAATTCTGTTTAGGTTGCATCCTAGACGGAAAATTCAGTCTAGGATGCAAGCTAGACGGAAATTCCGTCTAGGATGACTGGAAAAGTTTTTTTTTAATAATACTTCTGTCTAATTTGGCAATCTAGAGGAAGTTCATCTAACTATATGTATCAGGTTCGTTGGGCGTCAATTAGCACGCATATACTTCCTCGAAGAATCATGTCAGCTTTGTAAATAAAGTTTGGAGTTTCTGCACTTAAAACATCCAAATGCCAATTTTTAACTTTGATACCCTGGAAGGTTTTTGCCCAAAGAATACTCTTTGACTTCCAGAAAGTTTGAACTTTGATACAGCACGCTAAGTCATTTTAGGGTGTCAGAGTTGAATCTTTTTAAACTTTGGGGGCACTTTTAGGGCACCCAAAAAAAAAAGCCTTCGGGGCATTCAAATTTAGAAACGGTGCAGGCGTTAGGGTTAGGGCATTAAACTCAGTTATCAGCGTATATCAACAGAATTGAACTATTTCCATAATGCATGTAGGAACTGACATTCTGTAATGCATGTAGGAACTGACATTAATTGTTTCACTGACTAGCTAAGCAAAAGAGAAATGCAGGCTTGAGCCATTGTGTTAACTGCAGAAAATTTAAAGCACCTAATTCTTCATTTAGCTAAAGGTTTATACGTTAATAGTACACCTCACTCGCATACAAGAACAAGATATGACATTAACCAATATTGATAACTAGCAAATATGAGACATGATGAGTGATATAATTGCAGGCTCAATAAAGCTAAAAAAGATGACAGCCTGCATCAAGGATAAATACTACAAGAAAAGCCAATGATGCTACCTCAAACTACATTTAGACTTCTTGTGACAGTTTATCTTTTACTATATATGAAGATAGGTATTTATATTATCCACCGACTCATCAAATAAATTATGAGGTCTCATTATGATGAAAATTCAATCTTCACCTTGAAGTAGGTTAACATCCTCTAAAAGTACAAATATATCTTCTTGATGCTGCTAATGATGTATTAGGAGATAAAAGTATAGCCTACCACAAGAAGTGTAGATGTGACATCAAAGAGGTTATCAGTTTGAGCATTTTTCTTATTTTCCCCCCCTACTAAAGCTGAAAGAGCAATCTTCCCATTTACTGTCTTATACATCTGTTATTTATACAATACAAGTCTTTCGTCTCATTGTGTGCTTCATATTTCTGAATCTTCTCTGCAAGTTTGAAACTGCTCACCCACTAGGGCATAGAATAGAATCGACCCACGGGGTCTTTAGACCTTAACTAAGGTATTTATTCTATAATCCTCTATATTACTTGAAACTAGGGAGATATCCAAGTAATACAAATACGAGCACTTTGCATACAATCTTTTTTTACTGGTGCTTTTTTCTAGAACAAGAAAAAAAAAATTAGGTTATGTTCTAAGAAAAACAACCCTCTTGCATTGGCTTGGAGAAACTCAACAAGCTCTGCAATGTCCAGCACATCGAGAAAAGATTTTCTACAACAAATTCTTGCCCGATTAACATAACATCTATTGGATGATTGTTCTCAATAAATATGTGGCATGCACATATTGCACTTTCCAACAGCACATGAGTTGCCTCCTATTCAAACAAGTACAAATTTTATTAGTTATCAGAAACACCCGCATACAATTGGGTGATCTATACCTTTCATGGGTGCACAGAGGGGTTAGTCTAGAAATTTTATCTATTCTATTTATGGTTGAAATCACCTAAATCATATAAGGGTTGTTCAGATAGGATTTTTATTCTATCCAAACTAGATCCATCCAAACCTGAATCCAATGCATCAAAGAGATATTCCTGTAGTTTTCTTATCTCTCCTTTTAAAATAGATTAACCAGTTAGAAGTACAAAACACTGAGTCACTGACAATGATTAACAAGCTAAGTATGAATTTCACAGCTCAAACATCAACTTTACAAGTGCAATGTATGCCACTATATGCATCTATTATGAAATTATAAGATTATAGTTACCGAGACAAGGAAGGCTACATATAAACTTAATTGGAAGCTTCTTCATGAAGCAAAAAGAACATATCTTAACCGAATGGAAGACCAAAATTCATATAGCCGAACCTAAAAAAAATCATAATTATCGGAAAAGTATGAATTTTTTGGCTAGAACTAGGTAGTTTTCCTATTTTTTATTTTAAAAATATAATAATTGATAGAAAATGCCAATGTTATAGAAACCTTAGGTATCAGACTGGCGCCAAGGTGAATCTTTTTTCTTCGTTTAAGTGGTGGTGGAGGAGATTTTGCTAAAGATCACAGGAGGTAGAGGCGGTGCATGGTTGAGGCTGAAGGAGTTTGAAGGAGGTCAGAGGGCATGCAGGCTGCAACGGAGGAAATCATGATCAACGCATAAAGGGTGGGTGCAGTCCACGTAAGCTGCCTCTGCTCTCCTAAGCGCTTCAAAACCTAAGCGGGTAGCCTAGGTACGGCCTAGGCAGTAAGCACTAGGTACGACCTAGGCGGTAGGCACTAGGCAGGCGACCTAGGTACCATCTATACCTAGGCGCATGCCTAGGCCTACTAGGCGGAGGCTTTTTAAAACATTGGATAACCACCAAAAAGTTTGGAAGTGTTGTTTAACCCCAAAACCATTCCTAGCAACCCCAAACTTTTGAAGTGATCTCAAAATTGCTAAAATGCTTTGGGGGGTAATGTGAAAATTTAAGCTAATTCTTATTGAACAAATACAATATCTACTACCCATCATATAATCACACACAGAAAAAGGTAAAACAATTAAGTCATAGAAATCTTACGAAGTACTATTAATCATTGGGCCTCGAGCTCTGGGGATCATCTTCTTGCTGCTGTCGTTCTCTCTGTGGGTTACTAAGAGAAGGGAGAGAATTTGATCCTTTGATAAGCCAACCCAATGCAAAAAAAGAAACCCCAGCTAAAATAGCAGTACCCCAAGCGTGAGAGTACCATTTGCCGTACTGCCTGATCGCAAACCGCCATTGCTCCCTTAAGTCGCAGGATCAGGGTTTGATGGATCTGGAGGATTTAGGTATTGTTAGGTTTGTGGGGGTTTGGGAAATTTTGTTGATTTCCAATCCGACGCGGGTTGATTTGGGGTTTTTGACATCGGATCTGTTGAGGGTTGCTGATGATCATCAGCCAATTTTTTCCCCCTTGGTTATTTGGGGTCACACTGTGTATCATGCATTCATTGTATGCTGAGCTTTGGGAGTTTTGTGATGGTTATCTTTGTAGAGAGGTTCTTGGGCCTTTGCGGTCTGGACTTCCAAAACCCAATATCCGTATTAAAAAGCCCAATATAAGTGTTTTTTTTTTTCACTTTCCGCATTTTCTAAAATTAAACGAATGGAATGTAAGTTTTTGTTGATATCTTATTTCTAATATACGTATTAAATTACTATTTTTTTAAGTTCTACTTTTGTTAAATTTATACATACATACTTTGTATGTATAATTTATCTTGTAATTTTGATTCAGATTCAGATATTTTTTACTATGAAAAAACAGGAGAGAGAATACAACTTTTAACTATAATAAGTCTATTTGTGATATGGGCATGTATGACTTGGGAGATAAAAGGTCTCAAAGGTTTGGCCAACTAAATGTCAAGTACCTTGCTCCCCCTATTTGGATGTCACCAAATCCATGGTAGATACATCGCACGTGTAGTGTTCATTGTATTGTTTATGGTTTTCATTTGTGAGGTTTGTATTTTGTAGTGTGATTAATTTATGATGATGTCAAAGTGCATTACTCTTGATTATGTTTTTGGGTGCTTTGCTTATTTTCTAAGCAGTCTTATGTATATGTTTCTCCATGAACAGGGTTTTCATTATCCATATTTTACCACAATATCTTTGGATCGTTCGGTCATCGAGTGCTGTTACTGGTCTTATGGTAGTTCCAATCTAAGTTGTGTGTGTTATTTTTTAGATCATGGCCGGGGGAGTTGGTTCCTTGCCGATTATGTGTTGCATTTAGAGTTGAAATGGATTAGATTGCTAAGCATATTAATAAGGTTTTCTACCTAGAAACCAGCATAAAACATGGTAATTATACTGAAACTATCTTTTAATTTTAATTTATATGTAAACTATTTTAAAGTAGGTTTTTGTTGCAATCAATAGATAGTCAAATTTCCTCTAAAAGTCCAGCATATCCTTAAAAGAACTCATATTCAATAGGTAGTCAACTTATCATTAAAAATTCAAGCGTGTGATTTTTTTTAGTGTTTAGCTTTTGTAGGATACAACTTACATACATTGAAATTGAATTTTTTTTAAAGCTTTTTTTAATGAATATGATTGAATTTTTAAAGCTTTGTTTTAATGAATAATATAATTGGGAGGTGTTTGACTGCACCAAAAATCTATCATTTTAAAGTGTTGTATGTATAAATCAGAGTTGAAAGGTGTATTCCTTATAATTGTCCTATTTTGAATATAGCTTATAGGGGAGGGGGAAAATTCCTATTATTAAGCTCATATTTCTAACGCGACTATATATTTTTAAAAAAAATCACACAAGGTCAAATATGCCGCAAAGGATCATTGTTATCACCAATCAAGTTTTCACTCAGTAACGGGATTGTGAGGAAGTTGGGACAATTAAGTGCAAATCGATTTGCTTTTTTTATGGACAGTTCGATTTCATCTTATGGATGAGATAGCTTCCCTATTGCACGTAGGAAAAGCATTTGTTGAAGACAATAAATAAAGCCCTCTTCTCCTGCCAATTTATTTATATGATTAGAAAAAGGAGATACATTGGCTAGGAGAGAGCTTTGTGCTTGGACATTTTATAGGAGATGTCGAACCTTTACTTGAAGATATATCGCTCTCATCCTCTATTTCACATCCAAATGTGATGCATTATATGTATGCATTCTGTGATGAGGAAAAAAAGGAGTGTTTTCTTGTAATGGAATTAATGAACAAGGATCTCGCAAGCTACATAAAAGAGATTTGTTGCACAAGGAGGAGGATTCCTTTTCCTCTTATAGTAGCAGTGGACATTATGCTTCAAGTTGCTATAGGTATGGAGTACCTCCACTCTCGACAAATTTATCACGGAGATTTAAACCCTTCAAATATCCTTGTGAAGACTAGAAACTCGTCGCACGATGGATACTTGCACATAAAGATTGCAGAGTTTTCTCTCTCAAGTGGAAAGAAATTAAAAGGGTCAACAGGTTATGAACGCATTTGGTATGCTCCTGAGGTACTGATGGAAGAATCCACGAAATTAAAAGGGTCAACAGGTTATGAACGCATTTGGTATGCTCCTGAGGTACTGATGGAAGAATCCACGAGCAAGTATTCAGAGAAGGCAGATGTTTATAGCTTTGGAATGATATGTTTCGAGCTATTGACGGGAAAAGTACCGTTCGAAGATGATCATCTTCAAGGAGATAAAACGAGTCGAAATGTAAGAGCAGGAGAAAGACCGTTATTTCCTTTTCCGTCTCCTAGATGTCTTACAAGTCTGACAAAAAGATGTTGGCAAGCTGAGCCAGCACAGCACCCGAGCTTCACTTCTGTAGTTTGAGTTCTTCGTTACATCAAGAGGTTTCTGATCATGAACATGGATAATAATCTCCTAGATTTGCCTTGTCCAGCTGTGGATTACTTCGAGATCGACATGAAGCTTTCAAAGAAATTCATAGAAACTGCGAGAGTATCAGATATCCCTTTTCAGATGTTTTGTTACAGAGTGATAGAGAGGGAGAGGTGTAGCCTCTATCTCAAGGAGAAGAGTTCGGATTCGGGTAGTGAGGGAACATCTACTTATGGGGATGACAGTGGGTTCAATATGATGATTCATGATGATTCTTTTGTTTCTCCTTTGCCTCTTAGAAGATCATCATCTCAAATGTGTTTGGATGTTGGTAGTAAATCTTCCCCGAGGAAAATTGACAAAAAGGCTGTCAAGCAATCAGGTGAGTTTTTAATATTCATGTGTCCTAAAGTTTTCATGAGTCTTTGATATTTATATATGAACGCATTTGTAATAGGAAACATGGCCTAGGTAAGAAATTTGCTGCGACGCTTTTGAAAGCCCTTAACAATTGATACCTAAAGCTGAGGGTAGATCTCGCACAACTCCCCTAAAGTTTAATTGGACCATTTTGAGATGACCCCACTGAACTTACCCGCTGCTCTGATCTTCGGGACTTGTTACAAAACTCCCCAAACATTTTCATTTTTTTCAACATACTTTACCCGCTGCTCTGATCTTCGGGACTTGTTACAAAACTCCCCAAACATTTTCATTTTTTTCAACATACTCCTCCTCTCACTGCCTAACCCCCAATTTTCAACATATCTCTGAGTTTCAACATTATTCTAGAAATCCAATCAAACTTTCAACGGTTATTTTGAGAAAACCCCCCTTGAACTATTGCTAAAGTTTCAGAAAGCCATTATGGCATTAGGGAAGTATGTTGAAACTGGGGGGTTTCGTGACAGAACCCAAAGTTTCTTTTTTGGGTAGCTAAAGGGTTCAATGGTTATCTCATAATGAGCCAAACTTTACCCGAAATTTACGTAAAGATGAATTGAAATTGTTTCAGTTTGTGCAACAACACAATTCACTCATTGCTTCCTTTGATCTCCAGGGCAAACCCCGAAGGGAAGAACAAAGAGACCACCGCCGCTGCTAAACCTTCGTGGTCGGAGTCTGAACTTGAAATCGTACAGCCAACTGACACCACCAGCAACAATGACTCCTGGACGGCGCAGGATATCTGGGCATAAATCAGATTCAGAATTAGCATAGCCATAACTAACAGAAGTTTCTCTATAGAAACTTTGCGTTTTTTTTTAAATGTTAGATCAATATAGTAGTACTGTTAGATCTAAACCAAAACTTGAGATCTAAAACCATATAGCCATGATTAATTCAAAGAGATTAACAAGAATCATAAATGAGCGGAAGCTTATACCTGAATCCATAGAAGAAAACTTGATTTGGGTTTTTGATGATCTTCTAACCTTAGGGTTCCTCTAAATCCGAATTTCTCTCTAGATGGGGGTGAAGAGAATTAGAGAGTGTAACCCTAAGTTAGGGACCATAACCCCTTATTTATAGATGTTGTACTTTTGTAATTTAGCCCCTCAATAAATCACAATTACAACCTGGTATCTGCACATATAACCCCATGATTATATTTAAATACCCATTAACCCAACTTAATTGATCACTTTAGTGGGTTATTATGAAAGATAGCAATACACATTGATTAATCATATATGCCCACAAATATATTTATTAGATTAAATCCAACAATCTCCTACTTGGGCACCATATGATTCCTTAAATTGTGTATAACCTTATGAGCTCAAAAATTGCTATCACTGAAAAGGTATTTCCGAACAATCTCGTCCATTGACTATATCAATATAGGATCAAAGCGGCCTTCGTCACATTTATCGTGACTCGACCCATCAATGGTCACATATACCAATACAATCAAACGACATAGATCAATCATGGATGTGCAGCATGAAAATTACATGCAATGTGATCAGTACATGTCTATTTTCAACTGGTCCTCCTTAGTGAGGTCAAAACCAAACATAATGTAACAGAGTGTCTTAACTGAATACTTTATTCTGATCAGACAATACAACCAAACATAAAGCACCACAATTACAAACTCTCACTAAAACATAATATCCTCAAATAATACCACACTCATATGAGCAATATGCTCATGAAAGACCTTAGGTGGCAGTCCCTTAGTAAGAGGATCAGCTATCATGGAGTTTGTCCCAATGTGCTCTATAGATATTTCTTTCACAACCAGGAACTTAATGTCAATATGTTTTGACTTAGTTGAGCTCTTGTTGTTATTGAAATACATTACTGCAGATTTATTGTCACAATATAACCTTAGTGGTCTTTCAACATTTTCTAAAATGCGCAGTCCCGTGAAAAAATTTCGCAGCCATATTCCCTGATTGGATGCCTCATAGCAAGCTATAAATTCTGCTGTCATAGTGGAGGAAGCTACTAGTGTTTGTTTGACACTTTTCCATGATATAGCTCCTCCTGCTAACATATAAATGTAGCCTGATGTAGACTTTCTGCTATCTTGGCATCCAGCAAAATCAGAATCCGAATACCCAATGACCTCTAATTTTTCTGATTTTCTGTATGTGAGCATGTAATCTTTTGTTTTCTGAAGATACCTCATAACCCTTTTGACTGCTATCCAATGATCCATACCAGGGTTGCTTAAGTATCTGCCTAACATCCCAACAATGTACGCAATATCCGGACGCGTACATACCTGAGCATACATTAGACTTCCTACAGCCGAAGCATAAAGAATCTTCTGCGTTTCCTGAATTTTAAGGTTACCTTTAGGGTACTGATTGAGACTAAACTTGTCTCCTTTAGCAACAGGGGTGTCACCTGGTCTGCAATCTTGCATGCCAAACCTTTTAAGTACCTTATCGATATAGCTCTTTTGTGATAATCCAAGAATACCCCGAGAGCGATCTCGATGTATCTGGATCCCTAATATAAAAGAGGCGTCCCCAAGATCTTTCATCTCAAAATTCTTTGATAGAAATCTCTTGGTTTCGTGCAACATGCCTATATCATTAGTGGCAAGCAAGATGTCATCGACATACAGAACCAGAAAAATATACTTACTCCCACTGAACTTGTGATATACACAGTCATCAACAATGTTCATCTCAAAACCGAACGAGATAACTATTTGTTGAAACTTATGATACCATTGACGAGGAGCTTGCTTGAGTCCATAGATGGATTTCCTTAATTTGCAAACCATATTCTTTGGGTCTCCTGACACAAAGTTTTCTGGTTGCACCATATAAATCATCTCATCAATGTCTCCATTTAGAAATGCAATCTTAACATCCATCTGATGTAACTCAAGGTCATAATGAGCAACAAGTGCCATGATTATTCTGAAAGAATCTTTCGATGAAACCGGAGAGAAAGTCTCTGTATAATCAATGCCTTCCTTTTGAGTATAGCCTTTAGCCACAAGACGTGCCTTATACCTCTCCACATTACCGTTTGCATCCCGCTTGGTTTTAAAAATCCATTTACAACCAATTGGTTTTGTACCTTCTGGTAATGAGACAAGTTCCCAAACCTTATTGTCTTGCATAGACTTGTACTCTTCATTCATGGCATCAATCCACTGTTGAGAGTTAGAACTTTTCATGGCCTGAGAGAAGTTGATTGGATCATCTTCTAACATTCCACTACTTTCCTCATGTTCTTGGAGAAATACAATATAATCATCCGGAATAGCATTTCTCCTTTCTCTCGTGGATCTTCTTAATGGCACTGGTTCTTGAGGTTCTTGAGTTTGTTCTTCTGGAACAGGAAGTTGTTCAACATTATCATCTTGAGGTTCCAGATTTACTTCTTGAGCAACAACAGGTATAAGAACCTGAATATTATCAAAAGTAACTGTATGGATTGGATCTGAAGCCAATTCCTCCTCAAAACTAATGTCTCTAACCTTATTTCTCCCCCCAAACTCAACATCCTCAAAGAATGTTGCTGTTCCCGTCTCAAAAATATTCCTTATAGTGGGATCATAAAACTTATAGCCCCTCGAGCGTTCAGAGTATCCAATAAAGTAGCTGCTAACTGTTTTGGAGTCCCATTTCTTTTTATTTGGCCTATAAGGCCTTGCCTCAGCTGGACATCCCCAAATATGTAAATGCTTTAAACTGGGCTTTCGACCAGTCCAAAGCTCATAAGGTGTTTTAGCAACTGCTTTACTTGGTACTCTATTCAGAATGTAAGCTGCTGTCTTAAGTGCTTCTCCCCAGAGTGACTCTGGTAAAGAAGAATGAGCAATCATACTTCTTACCATATCCTTAAGAGTCCTGTTTCGTCTTTCAGGTACACCATTCATGCTAGGTGAACCCGGCATGGTGTACTGTGGGACGATACCGCATTCCTCTAGGTATCTAGCAAATGGTCCTGGACGTTGTTCGCCTGAACCATCATATCTACCGTAGTACTCACCACCATGATCAGATCTAACGGTTTTCGTTACTGTTTATCCGGAACAAAAAACTTTACTGTTCATCCGAAAAAATTTTCGTTACTGTTCATCCGAACAAAAAACTTTACTGTTCATCCGGAAAACAAAACTGAATCTTTAACCAGAGATTTAAGATCAAAAAACCCAATAAAACTTAAATCCCTAAGAATTAATCAAGGTGACTCTGATACCACTTGTTAGATCTAAACCAAAACTTGAGATCTAAAACCATATAGCCATGATTAATTCAAAGAGATTAACAATAATCAAAAGAGCGGAAGCTTATACCTGAATCCATGGATGAAATCTTGATTTGGGTTTTTGATGATCTTCTAACCTTAGGGTTCCTCTAAATCCGAATTTCTCTCTAGATGGGGGTGAAGAGAATTAGAGAGTGCAACCCTAGGTTAGGGACCATAACCCCTTATTTATAGATGTTGTACTTTTATAATTTAGCCCCTCAATAAATCATAATTACAACCTGGTATCTGCACATATAATCCCATGATTATATTTAAATACCCATTAACCCAACTTAATTGATCACTTTAGTGGGTTATTATGAAAGATAGCAATACACATTAATTAATCATATGTGCCCACAAATAGATTTATTAGATTAAATCCAACAAGTACTCCCACACGAAAGTTCTTCATGAATGCAAAAGATGCGGCTTGCTTTGTGAAGTATCACATATTCCAACATGATCATACTCCTATTTTCGTTGTACTTCTCTCTGCTTGCACGTAACAGATGCGTAGCAGCAGAAAGAAAAATATGGCTGTATCTGATGTGATCAGCTTTTCACGGTATTGACTTGTGCCTCCAATCAAGAAAGTAAATTTTGACACATAAGTATGTTGTATTTCAACTAAAATAAAAAGTTTAATACCGAAAAGCACTCTCAAACTGCATTTTTTCCATTGGAAAAATACGTAATTGTAGCTAATATGCTGAACAAACAAATCATGAAGTCACCCAAAACCTATGCCCACATTGAATGTAGTTTCAGTGGATCTGCAACTGCTGCTATAACAACATAAGCTTTGGCTCTTCGTAAACCGCCGATAATCATTAAAGCCTCCACCTCTGGATACATTAGGTATTGATACAAGTATCTACGGAGGAAAAGATGCATTCAAAATTTAGGACAAGAAAAGCACTAATTCATATAATATGTGAATGTGAATGTGCTGATCACATTCTAGAATTTGAAAAAATTAGCGGTAAAACTTCATTTAGTGAGACATGAAATGGTGTGACTTTGTAACAATGCTGAGAGCATTGAAATCACACACATATCGAACCCCACTACATGACTATTATTTATAATAGTCATTCATCTCCAACTAACAAATAAAATAATCCTCCGAATTGCACTAATTTCAATCGTACAAGCTTACTAAATATTGATCAGATTTGAAGGACAAATTTAGGAATATAACAGATTAACATGTATATAGGTAAATAACTCCATACAAGCAATTGGATGATAACTGAAATCTTTTCAATGAAACTCGTCTACTAGATATTATGTAAAAGAAAAAATGAATTCTCAGATCTTACAAAATCAGATCAACCCGTGATCTACGTACAATCCAACTATCCAAGAACTCACAGTTCACATTAAGTACAATATTTAAAGAAGTAACAAAAAAAAGAAAGAAAAGAAAAGAAAGAAAATTGACATCAAGATGCTGGAAAAAAAAGAAAGAAAAGAAAAAAGAAAATTGAACAATCAGATCTTACAAAATCAGATCAACCTCCTCTAATCTACATACA